TGTTCCTCTTTTCTTTTTTTAAAAAGCAAGCCATTTGCATAGTGTGCCAAATTTGGAAATGGAAATTTGGAGTATGATATGCAAATGTATATTAAAAAAAGGTCTTTGATGGCAGGAACGTATCAAGCGTTAATACGATGGTGATTTTGGAAAAATGACACTTGCATTCAGTTCAAGACATTTGTTAATGGAGCTTCTTCTTCAGTGGCTTCAGGACTGAAGAAACCACTCGTGGTGAAACGTTTCCTTGAATTAATGTCTTGAACTGTACACAAGTATCTTTATCCACATGTTGTTGGCATCACCGTAACAATCACTTTCACGATGGTGATTCCTGGTGTTGTCCACCGGTTAGTGAGTTCTGTGACCTGGTTCCTGCAGGAGATTAGCCGGTTGCAACACTCAAGTCAATGAGGAAATGGTATGGTGATACCGACAAGATGTGGAAAAAGACACTTATGTACAGTTCAGGACATTTATTAAAGGAAACGTTTCGCCACGAGTGGCTTCTTCAGTCCTAATACAGAGAAAACTAAGAAAACACACATATATATAGTGGTGGGAGTCAGGTGAGGTAAAGCGTGGGTAGAGGTGGTAATAGTAGTAGTAGTAGTAATGGAACTAAGGAGGTGAGGTTAGAGAGGGACCTGCTGGCATCAAGTAACACCAGTTCCCAGGATGGGTAATATCCTCTTGCTTAGTAATTTTGAAATACTGTAACTACCGGATTTTTGCTTTATAGTGTTACTGACAGAAATTAGTGCAGCTTCAATGCATTTTCTCCGTCTTAAGTCGTCTTCTTTAATAACTAGTTTAGCTTCATTGAATTTCATGAGGTGTCCAACATCGTCTCTATGTTGAACACATGCGTTTTTGCGGTCATCATTTCTGCAAGCATTTTTGTGTTCTGCTATTCTAATGTCCAGAGTTCTGGCTGTTTCCCCTACATATACTTTGTCACACCCCCCACATGGTATAGTGTAGATTCCTGCACTTGTGCCAGAATCATGCTTGGGTTTTTGTATCAGGTTCCTAATAGTAGTTGAAGAGCTGGTAGATATTTTAGCCAGTTTTCTCTCAAACGTTGCCACTAATGTTTCAAAAATGTTTGACAGAAAACTGGCTAAAATATCTACTATAGTGTAGATTCCTGCACTTGTGCCAGAATCATGCTTGGGTTTTTGTATCAGGTTCCTAATAGTAGTTGAAGAGCTGGTAGATATTTTAGCCAGTTTTCTCTCAAACGTTGCCACTAATGTTTCAAAAATGTTTGACAGAAAACTGGCTAAAATATCTACTATTAGGAACCTGATACAAAAACCCAAGCATGATTCTGGCACAAGTGCAGGAATCTACACTATACCATGTGGGGGGTGTGACAAAATATATGTAGGGGAAACAGCCAGAACTCTGGACATTAGAATAGCAGAACACAAAAATGCTTGCAGAAATGATGACCGCAAAAACGCATGTGTTCAACATAGAGACGATGTTGGACACCTCATGAAATTCAATGAAGCTAAACTAGTTATTAAAGAAGACGACTTAAGACGGAGAAAATGCATTGAAGCTGCACTAATTTCTGTCAGTAACACTATAAAGCAAAAATCCGGTAGTTACAGTATTTCAAAATTACTAAGCAAGAGGATATTACCCATCCTGGGAACTGGTGTTACTTGATGCCAGCAGGTCCCTCTCTAACCTCACCTCCTTAGTTCCATTACTACTACTACTACTATTACCACCTCTACCCACGCTTCACCTCACCTGACTCCCACCACTATATATATGTGTGTTTTCTTAGTTTTCTCTGTATTAGGACTGAAGAAGCCACTCGTGGCGAAACGTTTCCTTTAATAAATGTCCTGAACTGTACATAAGTGTCTTTTTCCACACTCAAGTCAATGACTCGAGCAATCGCAATAACACGACTGTAAACAAGTCAGGGAAACGGTGTGAGGCCTGAACCTATGGCAAGTGAGTTTTAGGATTCGCCATGCGATCAAATCCTACTTGTTCTGTGCGAGAGGTAGCATAAGGGAAGACAGATTCTAGGGCTCCGGGAACAGTCTCTGCATCACTCTTTGATTTTCAAAGGGGTTTCATTTTTTAGACCGGTGTGATTTTTTGGAGGTTAATATAATGATGGAGTGTTGGGGAAACGTGTGAACGAATAGCCGAGGCAATATCTGCTGATTTTAGAGATAATTAACGTGCGGAAAATCAAGGATGCAAATGGATTTGTCATTTTAGAATATGAGATAGAGAAATTTTTTAAACAAAAAAATATTCTTTTTATGCCTACGGGGTAGTGATCAACAACTTGGGGGGAAAGGGAGAAAAATTTCAATTTTAAAAATTGAATCAAGAATAATTTTACCGAATTAAATTTGCCCTTAAAAAAGGGTGGAAAATTTTTGCATATAGAAATAAAATAAAGGCAGAAAAAAATCATGCTTAGGGGAAAAAAATGAAAACCCGTTAGAATGAGGAAGAAACCAGAAGGGGATTTTAATATAGGGATCGCAGGGGTAACTTAGTTAAAAAGGGGTGAGTTTAACAGCAAGGGGCGCTAAACTTTAAGGGTGGGAAAAAATTTTTGAATTGAAATATTCCAAAAGATTCGGGGTGCCCAAAAAAAAAAAAAGGGGGGGGGGGGGGAGGGGGGTTTCCAAAGAGCTGACAAGGGTAAGAAATTTTAGGTAATAAATTCCCGCCAAAGTAAAAACAAGTAAAAAAATATGGGGAAAAAAATTTTGGGTTTATAGAATGAATTTTTTTACAGAAAGTATGCTTAATAAAAAAAAAAAAGCATTTAAGAGAGTTGAAGGTGATTTGGGGACGGTGGTTTTTTCCCGGGGCACCCAAAAAAAACAATACTCAAAGAGACGAATGAACGCTGCCGCATTTTTGGGTGCAAATAAAATAATTTTGCAAATAACACGAGGAAGTACTGTAATGCACAATTTGATCCCACACCCCGCTGCTTGCCGTAGGGGCACAACAAACTCCCCGGGATTTTCAGGTAATCAGGTACGATCCAAGGGAAAAGGAAAAGGGTAGCTCCGGGGCCTTGGACAACTTTTTTTTTAAGGGGTTTTCCATAAGACTTTTAAAGCATCAAAATTGCTGGGAAAATTTTTTTTTGGAAAATTAAGGGGGACCCTCGGCTCCCTGGGAAAAAAAAAAAGCTTTTCAGCCCTATTTTCCCTGTTCCCCGTTTTTTTGGGTTTCCCGAGTAGGATGCCCCCACTCCCCAAAGGTAAACCCCTGGAAAGCGTCGGTCAGAAAGACCACAAGCTCCAGTGGCGGGGCCATCATATGACCAAAACCCGCGTCAGGAAACACTTTCCGTTTCCTGACTAATCTTACCTAACCAAACCTACTTCTGTGGAGCTGGATGAAGCTTTAGCAATATGAATACTGACAAAATATGTGATTCCATCTGGACGGTTGAGCTGCTCTCGGGTCTGCAGCAACATTTAAATGAAATGTTGCATTTACACGGTCACCATCGCCGAGAAATACCATCACCCATGACACACTAAAAAACATCCTCACACACTGCAGGTCACACCTAACTCACACTGTGACACACCATCGTGCACTCTACACTAGGCCATACCAACAACAGAATTAAACAGATATTAATAAATGTAAAAAAAAAATGCAATATATATTTTCCACTGGCTGTTTCTGATATTATTTTACAGGAATTTTCGTCACCTGGTTGATACTGGGACTGATTCTGGCGGCTGCGAGCCTCCCCACCCAGCAGGACAAACAGCAGGAGGATGGAAAATATGCTGCGAATGAGGAGCAACAGCAGCAGAAGGCGTTATCGGAGGAGAAGAAGAAGAAGGAGGAAGGAAGCCGCTTCTTCGTTACTGGGAACACCAACCAACAAATAGTGATCGGGAACGCTGGTTATGTGTTGGTGGGACTCGTTAGTCTGTTCGCTCTCATTGCGGTCATTGCGGCAGCCTTCAGCACTCGTCGCAGGGAAGGAGGGTACCGCCAGCCTGTGCACACGTAAGTCTTGCCTGGGAAAGGCTCGACGTGGTTCTCCGGTGGATTTTCTTGTATATTTTGAACTCCGGTGATTACTTCGATAACATGATCGAAGGCATTTTCTGAAAAAAAAAAGTGCTTCGTCATCTTGATAAATAATGCATGGTCATCTTCATATAAAAATGCATGATCATCTTCATTTAAAAATGCATGATCATCTTCATGCAAAAATGCATGATCATCTTCACCACTACTGTTATAAAGCACAATTTTTAATAGGGGCGGAGGGGTAAGCCAGCGGAAGGCCTCGGTCAGATGACCACAAGCTCCAGCTGCAGGTCATCATATGACTAAGACCCGCGTCAGGAAACAAACCTGACCTAACCTAACCTAATCTAACCTAACTTAACCTAACCTAACCTACTCAGTGCTTGACTAAGCTTGCCTAAATAATGCAAAGATTGACTTAGAGAGCTTGACTTCAAAGGAATTTTGTATATATGGTTTGGATTGCCTTGTATACTCTTGAAGTTGCTTTGACTATTATTATATTACATTTGTAATACGAGAGTACCTTCACGATGGTGTCATGTTGGTACTGACAGCAGGATATTGGTAAAATAGGTGATTACGGGCAATGATAGCAGCAGACACACAATAATAGGTGAGATATTAGAAGGTAAACAAATGGTTCGTGTGTCTGATGAGTTATATATCTTAACGCTATACCAGTTTGTAGTGATCTATTGGAGAGACTAACTAGTTAGTGGTATGTTAAGTTCCTCTATCTGGGTTCCTGCACTACCACTACCAGTACCACCACCACTACCACCACTATCACCACTACTACCACTGCCACCACCACTACCACCACTACCAGTACCACCATAACCACTACCTTCGCCAGTACCACAACTCCTACCACTACCATTACAAATACCACCACCACTACCACCACTACCATTACCACAACCGATACCACTACCAGCACCACCAGTACCACCACTGCCACCACCAGTACCACCACCAGTACCACCACCATTACCAGCACCACCACCACCACTACCATCACCAGTACCACCACCAACATCACCACTACCACCACCACTATCATCACCAGAACCAACACTACCACCACCACTACCACCACCAGTACCACCACCACTACCATCACCAAATACCACCACCACTACCACCACCACTACCATCACCAGTATCACCACCACTATCAGTACCACCACCACCACTACCACCACCACTACCACTACCACTATCAGCACAACCACTACCACCACCAGTACAGTACCACTCCCACCACCATCACCAACACCACCACCAACCACCACCACCACCACCACCACCAGTACCAACCACCCCCAAACCACCACCACCACACCACACACCCCCAAACCCAAACCACCACCCAACCACCCCACCATACCACCCCCCACCACCACCTACCACCAAACACCCCCCACCCACCACCACCAACCACACCACCACCACCACCACCACCACCACCACCAGTCCACCACCACCATACCACACCACCACCACACCACCACCACCAGTACCACACCAACACCACCACCAACCAACACCACCACCACCACCATACCACCACATCACCACACCACCACCCCACACCACCACCACACACCACCACCACCACCAGTACACCACACCACCACACCACCACCATACCACCACCACCACCACCACCACCACCAGTACACCACCACAACACTCACCACCACCACACCACCACCACCACACCCCAGATACCACCACCACCACACCACCACCACCACACCACCACCCACCACCAGTACCACCACCACCACCACCACACCACCAGTACCACCACCAACACCACCCACCAGTACCACCACCACCACCACCATCCAACCACCACCACACCACCACCACCACCACCAACCACCACCAACCAGTACCACCACCAACCACCACCCACCACCCACCACCACCATACCACCACCACCACCACCACCACCACCACCACACCACCACACCACCACCACCACCAGCACCACCACCAACCACCACCACCATACACCCACCACCACCACCACCACCACCACCACCACCAGTACCACCACCACCACCACCAACCACCACCACCACCACACCATCCACCACCAACAACCCACCACCACCACCACCACCAACCATACCACCACCACCACCACCACCACCACACCCACCACCAGCACCACCACACACCACCAACCACCCACCACCACCAGTAACCACCACACCACCACCACCACCACCACACCACCACCACCACCAGTACCACCACACACCACCACCACCACCACCACCAGTACCACCACCACCACCACCACCACCACACCACCAGTCACCAACACCACCACCACCACCACCAGCACCACCACCATACCACCAACCACCACCACCACCACCACCAGTACCACCACCACCACCACCACCACCACCACCACCACCACACCACCACCCACCCACCACCACCACCACCACCACCACAACCACCACCCACCATCCACCATCCACCACCACACCACCACCACCACCAGTAACCACCACCACCACCACCACCACCAGTACCACCACCACCTACCACCACCACCAGCACACACCACCACCACCAGTACCACCACCAACCACCACCACCACACCACCACCAGTACCACCACCACCACCACCCACCACCACCACCAACCACACCACCACCACCACCCCCCACCACACCACCACCATACCACCACCACCACCACCACCACCACCACCACTACCAGTACCACCACCACCACCACCACCACCACCCCACCACCACCTACCACCACCAGCACCACCACCAGTACCACCACACCCACCACCACCACACCACCAGTAACCACCACCACCACCACCACCACCAAACCAACCACCACCACCTACCATACCACCACCACCACCACCACCAGCACCACCACCACCACCACCACAGCACCACCACCAGTACCACCACCACCACCACCACCACAAACACACCAGTACCACCACACCACCACCACCACCAGTACCACCACCACCACCACCACCACCACCACCACACCACCACCACCACCAGTACCACCACCAACCACCACCAGTAACCACACACACCACCAACCACCACCACCACCAGTACCACCACCACCACCACCAGTAACCACCACCACCACCAGTACCACCACACACACCACCAACCACCACACCACCACCACCACACCACCACCACCAGCACCACCACCACCACACCACCACCACCACCACCACCAGTACCACCACCACCAGCACCACCACCTACCACCACCACCACCACCACCACCACCACCAGTACCACCACCACACCACCACCAGTACCAACCACCACCACCACCACCACCAAAACACAATCGAGTTGATAACATAATTGATGCTTAGGTACACATCCTCTACCGGTACCTGCTTCCACACCTCACACCCCTTCCCATCATTCCCCAACCCTCCCCATACACCCTCACCCCCTCCCCATCCACTCCACTTCCTCTCCATCCACCCCCACTTCTACCTCCCCACCCCCGCCCTCTCCCCAACCATTCAAACCACTCCCCATCCATCCCCACCGCTTCCCATCTATCCTACCACCCCCTCCCAACCATTCCCACCCCTTCCCTTAACTCTCTATCCATCCCTACCCCCCACACACCATTTCCTCATTCCATCCCGAATCCTTCACCCTTCCCTCTCTCTCTTACCTTGTCCCCTCTCCCTTCTCACCCTCTTCCCCTCAGGGAAGGTTCCTTGATGTTGGTGAGGGGCTCTTGATTTAGGGAATTGGATCTGTGCTCCAGTTCCCCGAATTAAGCCTGAATGCCTTCCACATCCCCCCCCCCAGGCGCTGTATAATCCTCCGGGTTTAGCGCTTCCCCCAAGATGATAATAATAATTTTCACCCTCTTCACCAGTTCTTCCACTCCCCCGCCCCCCTCACGTCTCCTACTCTCCCCCGCCCCCTCACGTCTCCTACTCCCCCGCCCCCCTCACGTCTCCTACTCCCCCGCCCCCTCACGTCCTCCTACTCCCCCGCCCCCTCACGTCTCCTACTCCCCCCCGCCCCCCTCACGTCTCCTACTCCCCCCCCCTCACGTCTCCTACTCCCCCGCCCCCTCACGTCTCCTACTCCCCCACCCCTCACGTCTCCTACTCCCCCGCCCCCTCACGTCTCCTACTCCCCCCCCCTCACGTCTCCTACTCCCCCGCCCCCTCACGTCTCCTACTCCCCCGCCCCCTCACGTCTCCTACTCCCCCCGCCCCTCACGTCTCCTACTCCCCCGCCCCCCTCACGTCTCCTACTCCCCCGCCCCCTCACGTCTCCTACTCCCCCGCCCCCCTCACGTCTCCTACTCCCCCGCCCCCCCCTCACGTCTCCTACCCCCCGCCCCCTCACGTCTCCTACTCCCCCGCCCCCTCACGCTCTCCTCTCCCCCGCCCCCTCACGTCTCCTACTCCCCGCCCCCCCTCACGCTCCTACTCCCCCGCCCCCTCACGTCTCCTACTCCCCCGCCCCCTCACGTCTCCTACTCCCCCCCCCCCCCTCACGTCTCCTACATCCCCCGCCCCCCTCACGTCTCCTACTCCCCCGCCCCCCTCACGTCTCCTACTCCCCCCGCCCCCCCCTCACGTCTCCTACTCCCCCCCCCCCCTCACGTCCCTACTCCCCCGCCCCCTCACGTCGCCTACTCCCCCCCCCCTCACGTCTCCTACTCCCCCGCCCCCTCACGTCTCCTCTCCCCGCCCCCCTCACGTCTCCTACTCCCCCCCCCCCCTCACGTCTCCTACTCCCCCGCCCCCTCACGTCTCCTACTCCCCGCCCCCCGCTACTCCCCGCCCCCCTCACGTCTCCTACTCCCCGCCCCCCCCCTCACGTCTCCTACTCCCCCGCCCCCCTCACGTCTCCTACTCCCCCCGCCCCCTCACGTCTCCTACTCCCCCGCCCCCTCACGTCCTACTCC